TAGTAGGTGTGTGTGTGTGTGTGTGTGTGTGTGTGTGTGTGTGTGTGTGTGTGTGTAAAAGAAACAAAGAAAGGTATATTATTCCCAAAGCTACTTTCTCTTTTTGATTCACTCTAGAGCTTCTTCCAGGAACCTTCTCCAGCCACTGCTTCAATTAAAGATATGCTAAACAGCCTCAATCCCTTTCAGAAAACTACAGCCCATGGTAGCTGTAAAAGGGAGCAGGTGGTATGTTTCCCAACAGGATCTACAGAGGCACGAAACATGTAGGAAATTCCTTCCATGCCCCTTTGCCCAACCATGCAGTGTCCTTCCTAAATCTGGTCTGTGGAATGAAAGCTCCTCAGGGTATAGGTTTGTTTCTGTAAAGAACCACACTTCTATGATACTGTATCAGTAATTAATAATTTATGCTAATGACATTAATTACAAATACAAGAGTTCAGTACAAATTTTAAGAACTCAGACAACAAGGCTATCTTTTTTACCTGGGAATCTTTGCACCTGGTTGCAGGGCTATTCTCAATGTCACAGGAGTACACAACATAAGCAAATGAAAATGTGGATTTGAGGAGCAATGTACTGTAAATATTAAAAGTCTGTTGTACTCAAAATTAACTGAGCATAAAAATTAATAAGGAACATGCTCCTGGAAAGAGCAGCAGTTTATCAACCATGTATGCTTTCAATAGTACAAATTTAAAGCGACAGTGCACTATAAATAAGTCGATGAATTCAAAATAACTGAAATATTTATATAAGGGAAGCTGCAGTCACAAAATATCAACATTTCACCCTAAGGTGCCTTTCTCAAGATACATCACAGAAAAAAACTGTAACAGCTGATTAAATACAAGTTCTAATTCCTCCATCATACTCCTTTCCACTTCATAAGACTGTGAGTTACCCACCAGTCACATGGAATCTTCAAATTGCTTTTGTGGAATGAGTTTCAAAAAAGGTACTATGCATGAATTTTAGTGCTAGTGAAAGCTGCTGAGTCTTTTGTGCACCCAAATAATAGGTACAGTAGAGGTAGCAGCAGTCCAATTATAGCCACTCTGCCTTGCCAAGTTGTCTAAACCCTAACCAATAGAGATCACATTATCCATGGGCAGTCCATCCTCAGCCTCTCAAGGATTACAAAGATGTTAATTCGTGCCACCTGAGAACTGATTTTGCTAAGAGATCCACCTGTTCCCTGGGATCTACAACAAAACAACCAAATTCATCTCACAGAGGATAGCAAATGACCATCTTCAAATGGAGATTCACTGTTGGGGAGAAGTGTGGAAAGGAGACTAATTGAGGTGGGGGGTAGCTAATGGGTAAATCTATGGGGGTGGGAACTCAGTAATGAATGAATAGGCCAGGGTTGAAGGGAAAACATGGGATGAAACCAGCAAGGCAAGGAAATAAGAGCCACATTACAAAAAAAATTGACTCAGCAAAGTTGACTTAAAAAACAACAATGCTGCAAATAGGATAGGAATATAAGCATGTACATATATTGTAAAACTACCAAGATATGCACATAGCCAGCCAAATAACTCCATGGTCTTATGACTTTGGGCCTATCCTTTCCTGTATTTCCTCACCCAGCCATTCCTTGTTGTTCCCATCTGTGTCTCATTACCATTTGTACTAGTGCCCACAATGAGCTGGGCTATATCTACACATATTTCTCATTAGTTATACTGATGTCTGTCTTCATGTTATTTACACATTGAGATATCTAACATGGATCTTAAATCTGCACTTAGATACTATGGGGCCATAAAAACAGCCACAGATGGAGACTTTAATTGCTACTTTGGATCAGACTACTGGTTCATCAATTTAAGTATCCTGTCTCCAAGTAACCACTATCGGATGGTTTCAAGGAAGGTGCAAGGAACCAAGAAAAGTGCAATTATAGAATAATTTGAGCATAAGAAAAATTTCTTTTTAATCCCCCAGAGCTAGAGGTTGGTTGATGCTCTTAAGCATGGAAGATTTATATCCCTTCCAAATTGCTTTTTTTTAAAACTCTTTATATTAGGTTAAATTATTATCATCTCTGTAAAACATATTCTTATGTAAAGGTGCTATCTTTATATATAATCTGTATTTTAAATAACTACTTCTCACCTAGCAATCCAGTAATATTTACAACTGAGTTATCAATAGAGATGAGCAAACGGTGACTTTTTCTTTTTTACACATATATTAATTTGACTTCAGGCATCACGTTTAGTTTGAACTTGTGACCCTTCCATGTTCACAGTCTAAAATTATTTCAATGTTCAGGCTTCCTGAGTGCAAATGTTCTCAGAAATTGACTAAAATATTTCCCAAAAGTGAATGTTGAGTTGTAGTCTGTGCACTGCAGAACTTTAATTGCAATGACTATGTCTAAGCTTTTATCCACTGATTTCAATTTGCTTTTCAGTTTTCTGGTCTGTAGCTCTATAATTGGGATGGCTTTAGGTCCATCAGTTACAGCAAAGGTCAGGGCACAGGCACTCTAAAGGTTGTATTCCCAGCACTGCCACTGAGTCATAATCTGACTTGAACATGTAGCTCAGTTTACCAATTTGTAAGAGACTAAATGGTCACCCTCCTTACAGAGGCTTCAGGATTTTTAAAAAACATCACATTTTGATATTTTACTCACATAAAACATACTATACCATATAACTACTTTTTTAATGGAACCATCAAGTTGTGTAAACAAGAAACTTAAGTGATTACGTATTTGTGCCCAGGGACCCCAGTGCCAACTGGTAGAGGGCACAACAGGTGCACAGGGTTTTACAGGAATCTCCAGGGTCAGATACATACATCATAATTCACCAAAGGATGGCTTGTGTGGTCTCTACTGACAGCCAGTTGCCCACTGGTCATCAATTATTGTCAAATGAACATACAGATAATATTTAAAGAGTTATGTCTATACTGATAATTATGTTCTTAAGGCAGGTAACCAGGAAGTGACATGTCTCAGAGGGGTAGCCGTGTTAGTCTGGATCTGTAAAAAGCAACAAAGAGTCCTGTGGCACCTTATAGACTAACAGATTTATTGGAGCATAAACTTATGCTCCAATACATCTGTTAGTCTATAAGGTGCCACAGGACTCTTTGTTGCATGTCTCAGACAGGTTTCTTTCAGGCAGGAGGTAACAAACACTTACCTCCCTTTCTGGTTGTCATGCATTGTATTCCCTCCGGGGATACCTATTTTCATACTGAGTCAGATGCTGATTAAGATATTGCAAATGTACAAGAAAATACAGGGGGGGAAACAACCAGCAGAGGGTGTCCTGTTTGTGAATAAGGACAATGGATTTTTTTGATATATCTAGGGGTGCAACAGACATCCTGGAACTTTCACTAAGAAGGCAAGGTGACAGCGTGACTTTTCTCATGAATGGAAGACCACAGCCAAACCTGGCTGTAAAGTGCTGGAAGGACTTTGGGTGAGCACTGCTCTATAAGACATAAAAGTATCTAGTTAAGTAAGTCTAGGCTCTAGAATGCATGTTATGATTTTATTTTATATGTAACCATTTGTTTCCAACATGTGTACTTGCTATCACTTGAATTTCTATATTCTGGTAAATATACTGTTAGTTGTTTTCACTATAAATGCCTTTAAGTGCTGTGTGTTAAGCAGAGTGGTGATTTGAAGTGTAACTTGTAACCTGGGGTGTACCACTTCTTTGGAAGAAGCGGATATCTGTGAATATTGAGCATCCAGTGGAACAGGGGGCTGGACACTCCAGGGAGATACTAGGGGATTGGAACATGCTTATCACTAACTTTTGAGAGAGACAGAGAGAGAAGTGCCTGTCTAGGCCCAGAGGGGAGTGCTTGTGTTACTAGTGGAGCTGGGGAGCTGACCCCTGGCAGGCACAGTCAAGGCTTCCTCACAATAAGAGCAGGTGGTAGCAAGGTGCCTCACAACCCTAGGTGCCTCACAACCCTGGGTACCTCCAGGAATTGTCATAATATTATAATAATCCTTGTGTTCCCTTCCTCCTGTTCCCTTGTGTCTCCCTCTTGTGATTGTCTATCATTAGTTATTTTTATTACCGTAGCACCTAGGAGCCCTAGTCATGGAGCAGAACACCATTGTGCTAGATACTGTATAAACACAGAACAAAGAGACAGTCCCTGCCCCACAGACCTTACAATCTACGTATAAGACAAAACGTGGATACAAACAGAGGAGTACCAGGAAATAATTAGACAATATTCAGCATAACAGGCAGTGGTCACCATACACCAGCAGCCTATCTGTTGTCAAGTTTTTTTTGTAGACATCACCACAAAGCAGAGTTTTATGGAGGACTTTACAGGAGGTAGCTTTGCAGATGTTTATGAGGAGTTTCTTCCAAAGATGAGGAGCAGCACAGGAGAAAACTTGAAGGTGCTTGTTTGAAAATTTAACAACTAGGCAATAGGCCCATGATGCCAGCATCTATCAAAGGCAGGGAGTTCACATTACAATAGTGAGTGAGAGAACAAATAGTCAAAAGAGAGAAGAAAAGGGAACCAAGGAGAGAGTCCTGTGGAACCTCCTGTCAGCGACTGGGATATAGGCAGTCTGACGTAGTGGTCAGAGCCCAGGCCTCAGGAACCAGGAAACAGAGACAAGGGTCAGAGCCAGAGTCAGAAGTCGGGCATGGGACAAAGTTAAGAATAAGACAAGGAATGGAAAGACTGCAGCTAAGGGCTTAAGCTTTGAGCAGCCAGAGACATGCTGCAGCTGCTGAGCTTACATACAGGTCTATTGGCTCCTTGCATCCAATTGGCTGTTTCTGCTGCAGCCCAGCTGGGCTTGTTAACCAGCTTGAAGGAAGCTCCAGGCTCAGCTGAAGGAATTCAAACCCCTGGTTCCTGACACCACCTCAGAAAACTAGAGGGGGAATGAGGAGCATCCTTTGAGGGACAGATCAGAGGAAAACCACGAGATGACAAAGTCACCAAAGACAAAGGAGGACAAGATTTCAAGAAGAGCATGATTGACTGTGTTGAAGGCAGCTGACTGATCCAAGAGGATGAGGATGGAGTATTGGTTCTGAGATTTGTGTAGGAAAAGGTCATTGGAGACTTTCGGAAGAGCTGCGACAGTGGAGTGCAAGGGGGCAAAGCCAGATTGGAGAGGGTCTAGGATGGAATTGGAAGAGAGGAGCTCCAGACAGCAATTGTAGACAGCACAGTCAGTGAAAGAAAAAGCCAGAGGAAAGTGAGAGGTTAAGCAGAAAAGTAAGGGAATGGATGAGAGTGAGTAAGAGGGAGATCAGGAGATGGGATGGTGTCACTACAGCATGTAGAGGGGATAGAGGAGGAAAGTAGAGAAAAACTTCTCCATCTGTGACAGCAGGAGGAGGAGGAGAAGGAGAATTTTATAAGGGGAGAGGAAAGGTCACATCATCGTATTTTATCCCTCTCAGAGTTTGTTACTCTCATTCATTGTATTATGCTGAAGATTAAATTGTAAGCTCTTAGGGGAAGAGTTTGTATGTTCTTTATTTGTTCTAGAGTGTCCAGAGTGTTTTTTTGGGTATAGTATAAATAAAAATAAGTAAATAATAATGTTAGTGTTTTCCTAAAGCCTTTTTCCAGGGTCTGGATTTTTCCGTAAAAAAAACCCCAAACACACATTGCCTACGTTTGCTCTCAGAGGAGTAGCTAGCAATTGGAAATTTGAACACGCTGGCTGAACTATTCTCTCACCGCCTACAGGGTACCCCAATCTCCCTAAGTAAACATGCCATTACACACATTGTGATCTCGGACACAGCGGTATAGTGAAATATGGATGCTATGGGTCAGATTCTGATCTCATTCCAGCATAAATGTTGAGTCTGATTCAGCTCAGGTTTACTCCCATCACAATCTCCTCTCCAATATGCAGCCTAAAAAGAAAGCAGATCGTGCAGCCAGAAATTAGGCATGGCTGCACCAATCCAGCTCTTCTCAGCAATTTCTGCCAGCAGAACCCCAGGCAGGAAACCTTGAAGCAGTACAACAGTGACAACACTATCTATCCTACCTTTTTTAGTGATTCCATCTTGAGGTGAAAAGTACCATAATGTAACACATGGCACAGTATAACCTGGCATAACACCTCTCAGCATCAGCTTGAGTGAGAATATGGAGACATCCTCCTATTTCAAATAAATGATGGAAATTAAACTAGGGGGGATTAAGTACAAAAAACAAACTAAAAGAAGTAAATTTTCCATTTATCACAAGTATTTATACTAAAAATCTACCATGCAAATTGTAACAAAAATGGAGCATAGCACCAAAAATCATTTTAAATGTTATTGACTAAGGGATTGAGCATCAAGTCAAGTCCTATCATGTCTTACCAATCTATTAAAATTCTTTTAGTGAGTCAACAAACATATGGATAAGGGCCATCCAATCAATATAGTGTACTTGGATTTTCAGAAAGCCTTTGACAAGATCTCTCACCAAAGGCTCTTAAGGAAATTAAGTAGCAATGGGATAAGAGAGAAGGTCCTCTCATGGATCAATAACTGGTTGACAGATACACATTTATCTGCTGTGGTAGCCCCTATTGTTCTTGCTGCAAAACTGAAACTAAACACAAAAGTGAGGCTTTGCACTGCGGAGGGAGCAGTGTTCAAACATTGAAAGGGACAGGACATCACCATTCCTCCATCCTACTGTAAAAGATTTGACATATATATATATATATATATATATATATATATGCATTATTGTTCTACATGGCTAACAAAAAGCCATTATATAACCTAATTAAAAGTTGCAGGTGGAACACCACAGACTGTCAGGTTGTAAGGGATTATTCTCTGGAATAGCAACTCACTAGCTAAACAATTTATAAATTCAGGCTCTCAACTGGTTTTCACACTCTCTTGGGAGAACACTGTGATGAACAACAACAGGAACAGTCAGTGGTAAGGTATCAACTGCATCTTGTACCAAAGTTTCTTCCACTAAGTCATCAAATTAGGAACTGGCCCATATGTCATTTCCATAAAATGTCACTGGACAGTTTTACCACAAATAAAACAGGTGTCATGCATTTTATAAGTTCTCCAGGTACCTATTTCACTCCACAACTGTAGTTATGAACCCACACTAAGTCTCTGACTTGAAGAGAATGATTACACTCGTCAATTTGCATAGCTGGATATTTTGCTACACATGAGGTAATATCAGGATGTAGCAGGTCCCAACAGATATGCAAAGATTGTTTCAGGAAAAGAGTTGCAGGTGACTCCTGGGTAATAGCATGTGGTGTGTTACTGTAGACAAGCAATTAATTGTCCAATTTCTGCTGATTATTCAAAATAGACGTGTTATTTTTTAAGGCATGCTTAAGTCTTTAAACAAAGCATTTTGCTACTTTGTTTGTAAGATGATGGTAAAGAGCAGTGTGCGCGCGCTCAATTCCATTTGACGTTAGGAACCTCTGAAATTCTTCATCACAGAATTGAGGTCCATTGCCACTCATCAGCTATAACTGTAAACCAAACTGGCTAAATAAGATATGGGTCTTGACTATGAACAAAACCAACATTTTCTAAAGGTCTGGCAAAGAGCACAAGAATACATGTCCAAGAAATCTGAGGCTACAACCCGGGGTGTAGACGAACTGGGCCAGTATTGTGCTGAATTTGTTGACACATTCTACAGCACTTTACCTTCCTCTCAACATCTTTATTGATCCCTGGCTACCAGAGATGACTACAGGCTATGGCCTTCATCTGTCAATGACCTTCATGAAGAGCTTCCAAAACCTTGAGATTGCAGTGATTTCAGAACAATCACTCACATTCCCCATAATATGCAACCATGATTCACATTGACATGCCATGAATTATGTGATCCAATACTATATATTGTAGTACCATTACCGTCACAAGAGAAAGCACATCATTCTTAGCAGTTTCTTTGTTGAAGTCTGTGCTAGTGATGGATAACTTATCCATCAAATTGAGATAGAATACTTTGTCCAAAGTTTCTTTGGGTTGACGGGAGTTTGGGCATGGCAGGCCATCAGTATTGCTGTGCTGAGTCCCTATACAGGATGTACTACTATAAGAATGAGCTGAAAGAAGTAATGCCCGTGACTGCATAAAAGCAGCCACTAATGATGAAATTTCATGTTTCAGTCCAAAAATGGAAAATCTGTCAGCAGGGTAAAATGTCTACCATTCAGACAGGTACAGAACTTCTGAATTCTGAAGATTAGAGTGAGAAGCTCTCCGCAGTTTTGTGCACAGTTCTTCTCCTTCTCAGTTCCATTAGGAAAAAGGTAGGAAAGAACTATACCCATTCCATACAGTGAAGTATCACAAGCCAATTGCAATGGTACCAAAGCATCAAAGTGCATAAGAACTTTGGCTGATGTCAACAGTTTCTTTGCTTCCTTAAATGCGAACACACTCTCTTTAATCAATTTCCATTTTTCATTGCTTTTAAGAGCTTACATAATGGTGCCCATACCATCACCAAATTAGGCAGATAAGTTAAGCAGTCCTAAGTATGAATGTAACTGTGACATGTTCTCTGGTGGTAAGACTTGAAGAACCACCTTCTCTTTCTCCAGTGATTTACTTAAGCCTGTGGCATCAATTACACATCCAAGATCACTG